AACTAAGTGTTAGGTTAGAGTTTGAGAGTTTTGAACACGCATGACAATTTTAGTGTGAATATGAAAGGCTAATAGGATTTGGAGTGAGGAAACAATATTATAACAAGCGAAAGATAAATGATGTAATTATAGATTACAGGTATGTTTGTTGAAAAAATGGTCACCAAAAAGAAGATAAAAAGAATGCATAGGTCACAAAGCATCGACCAGAAACTAGAACTGAATGTCTTGCAAGAATAGCATTATCTTTGGCAAACAATAACAAATATGTCATTTATTAGTTTGTTGAACAACATAATCACCCATTACAACTTCCAGAAACAATAAACATGTTTGCTTCTCATCGTAATATAACTGAAGTTCAAGCTCATAATATTGATTTAGTTGAGACATCTGAATTGTGACAAAAGGCATCATTTCAACTAATGAGTACACTTGTTGGACACCAAGCTAATGTTGGGTATACTTGCCTGGACGCAAAAAATTATTTGAAGGCAAAGAGACAAAGGGGAATGGTATACAGAGAAGTCGGTTGTCTAATGCAATACTTTCAACAGTAATTAGTAGACAACCCATCTTTTTTTCATGCGTATCAAATAGATGTGGAGGAGCAAATCACAAATATTTTTTGGGCAGATGCAAAGATGGTTATTGATTATGGGTTTTTCGGTGAAGTTATGTCACTAGACACTACATATTGCACCAATCGGGCTAATAGACCTCTAGCATTATTTTCTAGTTTTAACCATTATAGAGATGTTGTTATCTTTGGAGCAGCCTTATTATCAATAGTTATTTAAGATTTTCTTGGAAGCACACAACAACAAAAAACCTCAAATACTTTTTACAAACCAAGATCAAGCAATAACCAAGGCACTTGTACAAGTAATGCCTAAGACACATCATGCATTGTATACCTGACACTTAATGCAAAATGGAATAAAGCATCTAGGCAATTTGATGAAGGGAGGAAGTCATTTCTTAAGATATTTGAAAAGATACATATATGACTTTGATACTTCAATTGACTTTGAGGAGGCTTTGGACAAAGTTGATTACAGAATACAATATCGAAGAACTTACTTGGATTACTTCATTGTATTCCATAAAGGATAAATGGGCATCATGTTATCTCAATGATTGTTTAACCCTTGGAATGTGAAGTACTCAATTAAGTAAAAGTTTAAATTATGATTTCAAGGTATATATGAAATCTAATGTTGACACCAAGTAATTCTTTGAAAACTTTGAATGAGTGGTTGAAGACAAACGTTACAACGAGCTCAAGTGTGAGTATGACTCTCATTATAAACTAGCCATGTTGCGATATGAGGTATCACCAATACTAATACAAATGGCTAAGGTTTACGCACATATAGTGTATAATTTATTTTAACAAGAGTTTGCTCAATTCTTAGTTTGTTTCATATTATAAAGGATTGGAACTCCTTCTTTGATTCAATATGTAATTACTAAAGTCAATCAACAAAGATCATGGACAATTACATTTGATTGTTCCTTGATTACTATAAATTAATCCTGTAAAAAGTTTGAAACATTTAGCATACTTTGTTGTCATGCTTTGAAAGTCTTTAAAGCCAATGATGTAAAAGTTATTCCTGACAAATACATACTAAAGAGATGGATAACACAAGGCTGTTGTGGGACAATTCACAATGTAAAAATAATAGAAGTGGAAGGAGATCCTAAACTAAGTACTACACATAGTTTTCAACACCTAGCATGTAAAATGATTAGGTTGACCTCTGAAGTTTCTAGTTCAGAAGAATATTATCAATTAGTGGATGATAGTATTAATACTTTAATCAGTCAAATTACAAAGCTTTGCTTACAAACACAAGATAATGACAACAATAATGATGATGGTATAAATAAGGTCAATATTCATAGTACACAACTTAAGGGATTCAGGCAACAACCAACTACCAAGAGGAAAGGTTGTAAAAGATTCAAAGGTTGGGTTGAGCTACAAGCAAAAAAGAAGAAGAACAAAACTCTAACTTTAGGTCAATTAGCATCTCAGGTGCTTTGTTATAATGATTTTTTTTAATCAATGAATGCATTTATTTTAACTTCCTTATTATAACCATAACATAAATTTCACTGTCATTAAATGTGTTAGGAATATCAACAAATGTTCTGTGATTTGTTTGAAGTACATTGTTCAGCACCTCCATGTTATGATCTTCCTCAATCATTAGTCAATCAATTAAGTTTCACAGATTTGTTGACAATAAAACTATTCAACTTACATCAAACCAATTCTCCTTTTTTTTTTTCATCCATTCTTGTTCTAATGTCTCTTCTTATTTTGTAGGGACAACTTATGATACCAATGCTTCAATACTTGATGAAATTTGATTATGCAATTATCAAAACTTCTTTTGTTTCTAAGCTAAATATATATTTATAAACACAGTGCGTTTTGTGTAAGAATGAAGGTTGAAAAATTTATGTAATCAAGTTTTTTTGATCCCCTGCATGCTGTCTATGTCTGCATAATTTTTTCAATTTCTAATATATTCGCTTAAGCTAACAAAATTGCTTAAGCAGATCTTGATTCGCTGAGAAATTTAAATCTAGGCTCAAGCCTTACTCACATTTGTTTAAGCCATTTCATTTTAGCTTAAGCTATTTTGTATGTCTGAAACCATTGCTCTCTGCCTTAAATTCACTTAATATTAATCAAAATTACTTGTCACGGCTTAAGCGAATCCACAATAGGTTGAGCAATTCATAATTAGCTGAAGCGAAAAGAATGACTCAATTACATGTCTCTCTGGTCCATTTTCGCTTAGGTTTATTTAATTTCGCTTGGAGAGGCTTAAGCTAAATTTGATTCGCTTAAGCTAAAGCACACACTTAAGTGAAACATGTTTCTGATTTCTTGTGGCTCGCTTGGGAGTGCTTTCAAGCCTTCTCCCCATTCGCTTAAGCCATTTACCATGCTGAAGCGAATCCACTTCATATTTGCTTAAGCGAACATGCACTGCAGGTGCAGTTCCCGCTAAAACTGCAGAGGATTCAAATCCGTATAAATATAAATATTTATAAAAAATATAAAAGTTTATATAAAATAAGAAGAAAAATTTTATAAATATAAACATGTATATATATATATATATATATATATATATATATATGAAAAATTAAAAAATAAATATATGGTTTTAATTTTTTTATATAAATATAATCATAAGTATTCATAAAAAATTATATAAAATAATAAAAAAATTTAAATAATAATTTTAATCTCTAAAATTTAGAATGCATTAAACAAAATTAGTAGCTAAAAAAATTAATTATAATAAAAAAATATAATTTACACATAAATTTAAATTAATTTTATTTTAAAAATACATGTAACTAATTATAAAATTCATTAAATGTTTCACTTTATAAATTAAGTACACTTATTTTTGGTAATGCAATAAGTTAAGAGTGAGTGGGTAGCCGTTAAATTTGGCCAATTCCATGCCAATGTAATTAATTAGTTACATATGTCTTTATTTACTATTTTTTTCACTCTTTTTGTGTTAATCCAAACCTCATAAATAAATTATTGGTGATTGTGTTAGTCTCATGTTTTATGAACTTTTTTTTTCAAATAAGAATACATATTAATAAATTCATTACAAGAATAATAAAACAAGTGATAAAAGAAAAAGGATAAAAATATATTTTTTAGTATATTTCCTTTTTATTAACTTATTGTTTTAAAATTAATTAATTTATAAATAATTTATTAGTATTTTGTTGTTTATTTATCAATAATATGACATTATTATTTATTTGTATCTATTATAAAATATTTTGACATTGTCTTATATTTACACTCAATTTAAAAACTAATAAAAGATAATAGTTTTATTTAGCCTAAATCTGGCTTTTTTTTTTATATATAAGATTTAGAAATTATATATATATATATATATATATATATATTAAAATATGATTTTTTTGAAAAAATTATAAAAATATGAAATTCAAAAATTATCAATGACAATTTATAGTATAAATATTGATGGAATAATGCAAAGTTATGAAATTTCAAAAATTATAAATAGAAATTTTGTTAAAAAATTATAAAAAGTCAAAAATTGTTAATGGTAATTTTTCAAATAATAATAATAATAATAATAATAATAATTTAAAATAAAAATTACTAATAACAATTTTTTAAAAAATAAAAAATTTTAAAATACTAAAAAAACGTCACTAACGATTTTTGATCTAAAATATCTTATTTTTGATATATTATATATTTATTTTTATATCAAAAAGCTCCTAAATCTCTGTTAGAGTTGTAAAACAAATGTTATACTAATTAAAATTAATTTTTTTATTTATCAACAAAAATATTAAATTTATAATTTAGACCTCTTATAGATAATTCGTATTTTACATATAGTTGTGTATTTCTTACAAAACATTCATTAAAAATAACAATATTATATTATTTATTTGATTTATCTTAATCGAATTTCAATTCAAACTAACTAACGAGTTTTGATCGGTAAAAAATAAACTTGACGTATTGCATTTTCATATATTAAGTAATATGATGTTTATTATAATATTTATAAACTTTAATGAATATTATATACTTTGTTAAAATTAACATTTATAATTTTTTAAATTAAATGACATTTATGTTTTTTTGAATATATTATTTACTTTCACTGTCTATTTACATGTTTAATATAAAATAAATAGTAATAATTGTTTTATATGTGAAAAAGTATATAATATTTTCGTAATTGACAAGGCACCTTAAAATTAACAAGTAAATATGTAGCTATATTTTCTTTTTAAGTTTTTATGTAAAAAATGGATTTGATTTTTCAGGAAAGTGAATTTTTTTATGAACACTGATTGGGGAGCGGGCCTGTATTTGGGCTTGGGCCAATTTAATCACTCTAAACCGTACTCAATTGCAGGCCTACCGTGTATTTCATTCATCGTTTTGTAAAAAAGGCAAACGACCGAAAAATCCAAAAACGGTCCCCAATCGGTCGAATAGGCACTGGTTTTGTTCTCGAACAGCGTGTCGTTTCCGGTTCCCGCCCAGTTCCATTTTGCTCGCTCGAACTCCACCATGGGCAACTCGTCCAAGGACGATTCCGCCACCTCCGGCGACGCCTCCGCCGGCGATGTTCAGCCATCAAATTCTAGTTTCTACTCCGAGGGCGAGAAAGTACTCGCTTACCATGGCCCTCGCATCTACGAAGCCAAGGCACCTCTTGCCTCTCGCTTTCCTTTTCCTATTAAAAATTGTCTTTCGATGTTTTGTTCTCTCGATTTTCTTGTTCTTGTTTCTCGTTTGGAATTTAGCAATTTCGTAACCGTAAGGAAACGGAACCTTTACAGTTGCTCACTGCCTAGTGATCGTCCCGCACTGGGCTTTTTCTGTGTTAGGGATTTGGTTATTGTTTTTGTGTTCTTAATTCTATTTGTTTGTTAAAATAGCCAATTCTTCTTGCTTTGACTGAATTGTGACTTAACGGTTTTTCTTGTTAAGGATAAGTTTCGAAAGGTCTTTCACGGTTTCTCATCATTTTCCCTAGTTTCTCTCTTTTACTTTAATATGTAAAAATACTGGTTATTTTATTGTATTACCTATAATTTTTCTTATGTGTGATTGATTTAATGTTTGCTCCTGGGATTGGTATATGGTATATCCGCTTTTCCTGTCATTATAAAACGTAAGGTTGCTGTGAGATGTTGAATTGAGAGTATAATTCTGGTTATTTCATTGATGCTTGCTATCTTGAAAGGACATTTTATACTTATCTTAAATTAACGGTTATAATAGTTCTGATACCTTAAAAATTAAAGGGTATTTATGTCTTTTTCAAATGAACTGGTAACTCCACTATCTATATTACATATTAAATATAACATTAACAGTAATGATTATTCCACGTATCAAGCATAGAATTCCCTTTTAATCTTTAAGGACACCACAGAAATTACCCTTTTCAATTTATGTCTTTATTTATTTTGTTTACCTAATGTAAGGATTCATAGTAAATAGTAATTAATCACTATTTAGGTGGAGTGTGTTAATAAATCTTTTTTCCATTTATCTTTTTGAAATTTTGACCTAAGTTACTGCATGCTTTGATCGTCAGGTGCAAAAGGCTGAGATCAGAAAGAATGAATGGAGATACTTTGTTCACTACCTTGTAAGTTCAGGCATAATATTTCTTTCCTTATAGATCTTGTTTTAAGAACATTAGTCGTTTCTATCAGTTACTTCATCTCTGGAATGTTCCTTAATTAAACTTGTCAAATTAATGTTTTAGCTTGAGAGATTTGAAATCTAGGACTAGAATCACTTAAAATGTTAATTTGAAACTTTCATGTGATTACAGGATATGCTATTGACTTTTGGTTGCTTTACTTACTATTTTGCAGGGCTGGAATAAAAAGTGAGTTTCTTATCTTTCCTTTGTTTCATTTCAAGTAATAGAGGTACAATTGCAACATCATGATGATGATGGTCCAATCTTTTAGTTTACAACATGTGCTCGGAAATACTACAGATGTTCTTGTGTGACCCAAAATTGGTAAAAAATCATCAAGTAAGAAGCAGAGTAAAACTTGGAAAATTTCCAATGGCAAATTCTCATTTAAATTGCACTGAAAGTGGTGCATATTGTACTTGTTGGAACTTGTGTAACAATTTGCTTACAGGGTCCTTGTAGTAATTGATCTATAGATTTTAGAGAGAATTATCATCTTCATTATGGTTAATTTTGCCAAAACTGTTTGCTATAAATGATAATTATTACTTCTAAAAGGTTACACAGAATCTTTATCATGGATTCAATGTATTTCCAACAGTTGGGATGAATGGGTAGGTGAGGACCGTTTAATGAAACATACTGAAGAGAATGTCACAAAACAACTGGCCCTAGACAAAAAGCAAAGTGTAGACAAGAATGTTAAATCTGGGCGTTCAACTCAAGGAAAGGCCAAAAATTCTATGGGTATGTAATGCACTCTTTCAAGTGGTAACAATTTATTATGACAGTTTCTTCAAGCTTCTGCTTATCTAGCTTGTGCATAATGTGCTTTTGGAAAGGGGGTCTGAAGTCTCCTGGTTTGTGATTGAAAAGATAAAAGGTTTTCTTTTCATTACTTTGCAGCATGTTTGGATTATAAATTCAATTGTCAAACTGCTTTTTAAATTTTACTAAAGGCGCTTGCTTGTACACCTTAAAGCCACCATATTAGTTTGGTTCTTTAGGGGTTTTTGGAGTAGCAGGCGGCACAGAGTAAGGAATTAACTTGGAATTCTTTATGTAGAAGGAAGACCATTGTCATTAATTTAATATTAGTCTTATGTTCTGTCTTTGTCATTAGTTTAATCCCAGTTCACTTGATGTGTGATGAGTAATGACTAATGAGGTTCTCAAAGGGCCTTCATCAACTGAGCTCTGGATTTTTTGGTCAATATTTTATTTTGATTGTAGTTTTTATTCGGAAAAAGATATCTAGACTGTTCCAAAGGGAAAAGTTTGAGATAAAAATCTACACTTATCGGGTGCTTGGATGCAAAGTGCTACTATAGAGTATAAACAATAGCATGTTTTGATAACATTAAAAGAAAGTTTGATTTCCTTCAAAACTAATTATAGGAAAAAAATGTGTGACCTTTGACCAAAATCAATTTTGGCCTTCCTAACAAGCTCTAAAACATTTCTAACATCCTTTTGACATTGTTACAGGATATGCAAACTTCCTTCGTAAGTAAGTTATTCTATTGAAACAAGTTTTCCCCTGTTTTAAATGCTTGACAAAATATGTGAACAATTGCACAGGGACCAAATCCTCATTTTGCTCTTTTTTCCTGAACTGTTGGACTTGGAAAGATTATACTGAGGATACTTCTTTTTGTTAGCTTGAAAATTTTACATTTGCTTTGGATTCTGCAGATGCCAAAGTTGATAAAGAGGACATCAAGAATAATGGTATTCATTAAATTCAATCTTTCACTTTCCTTTTTGCATTAATATTTTTATATATCTATGCAGATATAGGATTAATAGATATAAACCTTTTTCTTCATGATCAATTGGATTGAATTCCTTTTTTGTCTTAAATATTAAGAAGTGAATTTATAGTATTCTGGGTTAAAGTGGTTTTTTTCTATTTGTATGGATTTAATATTCTACTGAAAAGGTGACCCACATAGTTGCTTATTATGTACTGGCTGATTGTTGAATTAGTACTGTAATCTCTGCATTCAATTTAGCGATGTAGCCCTGATAAGAGATAACAGTCAATAATGAATAATCTCTATATGTTAAGTGGGCTATTACCTTTTTCTAAAATTCATATTAAGAAAACCTTTTATGTTGTTTGGCATCGTTCTTTCTTTCCCACATTATTTCTTTTCTAAAGCATCACTTATCATTATTTGTTGCTTTATGTAAAATATTGGTGCATTTTATTTTCTCACAGATGTGCTCCAATTATAACCTGAATTTCAATATGTGATTGATTGCAACAATACTTAATGCATTTAGGTTGTCAATGGAAGCCAGAGCTGCACATCCTAATCTACGGAATTTTTTATCTTATTAAATACTGCTCTATCAATCTTCCTTGTTAATAAGATCTTTTATATAGAAACTATGACTGCCTTCATCTGATCAGACAATATTACTGTTCATTATAGGCCATTATTTTGCTCAAGGCTTGGCCAATAATTGGCCCAGAAATGTTCCATTTGGGCCAAATCTGAATGAGTAATGCAATCCAGCCAGCCTTTACATAATAAATTACATTTTAACATCAAATGCAATTTTATGAATTTTCTTTAAGTCTGTTCTCACTTAAATTTAATGTTTTTGACTTCCTCAACTGTACATTATTTTTCATTTTTATATGCATTTTTTATGTAAGGAATCTTTATTTTTTTTTTATTTTGTTTTTGAGAATTGAATATTTAATTAGTTCTTGGGCCATCTCATTTATATATAGGCCTGGTCCAGGCTAGCCCAATATTTTTTTTTATCGATTTTGTTAATATTAACCCTTGGGATTAGTTTTAAACATCTAAATGTGGTATGCTTTCATTTGAAAAAAACATTTCTTACATTAAAAGTAGTAAAATACAAAAATGTAAGACATGCATTCTTTTAAAATATAAAAACTTGCCATTTTTTTATGCAGTAATTAGCCAGTTGGACCTCTCAAATTCTCATTTGAATGCAATGTTGTTGATTTGTTGAGTTTCAACTTTCAAACTGGTGTGTTCTATTTTCCTGCCATATTATGACTTGTATGTGCTAATAAGTTTAATATATCATATACTGTGCAGTGTCAAAAGGGAAGAAACGAAAGAATGATGCAGGAGTTGAGGTTTGGTTTATATTGTGGTTTAATTATATGCTTGCATGTTTCTTTTATTTCTAAAATCCTGGAAAATTACCATTTGCATTGAAATTCTCTTCATATAATAAATTATTGCTTTGCTTACCTGTTTTCATTTTGCACTTCATAAGATAAAGACAAAATACCAAAATGCATATCAGTTGTTTTAAATTAAGGCTGAAACTATAAGTAATAATAAGATGACGAAATTTGGAGTTCAATCTTTCTTCTGTTTCCTTAACATGGAATACCCTTCCTGTTTGATATTTGATTTGATGGGAATTTCTCATTTTGGCCACTATACCTTTTAGTTGAAAATATTCTTTTCACTGTGGTTTTCTAATCATTAGAAGGGCAGTGGGACTGTTGAGAAGCTTGTCAAGATTCAAATTCCTGCAACATTAAAGAAACAGCTTGTGGATGACTGGGACTTTGTTACACAGCAGGATAAGGTACATGAAAGTTGTTGAATTCGCTCTTTGTGGCTGTCCTTTCATAGATGCTTAAAATGAACATTTAGAGTTAGATTTTATGTACCTTTCATGTAAAGGTTACGGTAGCCTGAAAGAGATAACTCATAACCTTGAGTCAAGTCATTTCTTTTGAAATTAAATGATAGTATTGTGCAGTGCTCGTACAATTTAACATGATACTCAACAATTTGAAACCATTTGACTGTGTTAGGAATGAGGCAAGGGAAAATTAGTTAGATGGACACTTTAGTTCTTTTGGTAGAGACTCCATTGTCATTGTCCACCTTGGATACTTCACCATAGAGTAGGAATTCAGCCAAAGTTGGATCCCACATGTTATTCTGATACTCCGTTGCTGCCAATTGAAACTTGCCATCAGTGTCCTGAACTACCCAGCCAAACACCACAATTGGACCTGCCCAACCCAAATTGACATTCAACTTCATACTTTTGGGGGTGGTTTTTTCCAAGTTTCATTTACAGACTTTGTTTGGTTTTGGGAATTGCCAGTTATATTTTCACTCTGCCAGTCCTTAAAAATGTAGTCCATATTCAACTCTTCTAGATTAGGTGTTTGTTCTTGAAATGAATGTCATTTCAGCGCTTCCAAATGGCCCAGGCAGAATATCATTAGAATCAATTCCATGTTGGGTGAATCTCTCACTTGAAAGGCTGTTGCCAACCAGCGTCTACAGTTGTTTACCCCTTCCATATGTGAAGACTATAGTTGTTAATCTCGGATAGCGGTAAATAGCAGCTGACCCCTAAAATGCTATAGCAGAATAGCTTATAGTAGGATGATCGTTATTTAAAAATTTATAATATGCATTTATAATATTTATGTACACAGAAATTTAATATAGATGCTCAAGAAATTCTCAAGATTACATAATCATCATTCCAAGTAATAGTGTAAAAGTGCAAAATATTACAGCATAGATGTTATATTAAACAAAAAATGCTAAACAAAGCTTGAACAGCAAAACAAAGGATGAACAACAAAACAGATCGTGAATATAAAAGCAAGAATGATTAGTGAATAGTATAATAGAGCTCAAACAGAAAAGCAAAATAGACACCGGAAAACCTGATCTCTCTAGCGAAATGGAGTAAGTGAACCTTTGGAAAAGCTGATTTCTCTTGTGAACAGAAAAGCAGAGTTGCTGGAAAATTTGATTTCCCAGCGAAATGGAGTAGGTGAGGAGGAGAGAAACTGCTATGTTGAGGTTTCAACTTTTCGTGCAGAGAAGAAGAGTGTGGAGGAAGATGAAATATATGTTTTATTAAGGGTAAATAACCTTTCTACCCTTAAAAATAATAAAAAAGGCGCATTTAAAAAAAAAAAAGAAAAAGAAAAGGGTTTCTTCCTTTCCCCATAATTGCACAATTGCACCTGTGACTTCTCCCTGTTTTGGCCGTGAACCACCTGCAACCACCACGACGTGGCAGCAGATGGCCGCTCTGCATTGCACTAGCACTTGTGTTGCTATAGTGCGCTATTAACAACTATGGTAAAGACAAAGGTGACATGAACCACAAAGCTTTGCTAAAATTGCACACTAGGAAGATATGCTTCTATGATTTACATATGTTTTCAGAGCAATGATTGCAATATTCTTGATCCTCTACTCTTTTGGAGAATTAGTTCTACAAGGTAGAATATTTCTTTCCTATCTGTCTATGAAATGCTTAATTTTTGGCTGGATGTTTGGCTTCCAAAGCATTTCTTATGTGCATTAATGCAATCTTTCCTTGAGTTAGCTCAATTAGGTCAAGAAACACTAAAAAATGGTTCATAAAACGAGAGTTATGATCGTGAGATAATTAGAACAAAAATTAAGATTTCAAATGCAAACAATCAAGAAAACCAAAAGAAAGATGGAGAAGAGAACAAGAGAAGACAGTGCCACAAACTTAATTCAATGGAGAATAGAGAATGATAATCTTAGTGTAGAATCGCAACAACAGTGTGAAAAACCCTTGACAGGATCTAGTTAGTGATTCTTTCCGAGAACTCTAAGAGGCACACAAACTCTCTCAAAGCGGTAAATCCTTAATTCTTATTCAAAACTAAAGTTACTTCCTAAAAGTCTAATATGTATATTTATAATGACAAGTGAAACTCTAAAAGGCTTAGTAATCAATTGATCAAGCCCAATAATAATAATAATAATTTAAGTAAAAATTCTAAAAAGTTTTAGTAAATAATATAACTAAATCCACTTAATATAATAAAATATAAAATTCTAAAAAGGCCTAATAACTAATATAGTCCAACTCACTAACCTAAGACATAAGAAATTATTTTATTATATCATAAAATTCTGACTCAATATACAAATTAAAATAAGGATTGAAATTAACCCTAATCTTCCATTAGAACATAAGTGATTAACTTTGAGTTCTCTTCTACATTCTCAGGTGCGGGGTGCCTTGAACATAGTCATCACGATTAGATTTAGGGCTTCTTTGACTTTTGTTGTTTTTGTTCTCGTCATAGGACTTTTAAACCTTTTGTTTTATTCCTTCTTTATCTTCACTTTGAAGAAAGACTTATTTGAGAAATATTGGGATTATAACACTGGTTAAGGTTTAGCAAGGTATTTTCATTTGATGCCAATCTTGGATCTCCAACTGTTTGAAACCAAGGCCTCCCTTGGATTTAGGTATGCATAGAGTATTCCAGACTTCCAGTCAATCCAATGGATTTTTCTACATTTTGTTTCTGGTCCCACCAGAGTCTGACTAGCAAGGATGACATGTCTCTGTATGCTGAAACTGGGATCTTGAAAGAACTCATCACATATGTCAGTATAGCCTGGGCCATAGATTTCAGCGAGGTTTCCTTCCTAACACTAGAAAGTGTTTTTTCCTTCCAACCTTTTACTTTTTTTCGAATTCTATACCCTCTTAAGTTTATAGGTACCACAGCAAGTACCTAGAAAGAAAAGAGGAAATGAGTAAAAAAAAAAGAATAGAACAAAAGAGAAAAATAAAATATAAAGTACTCAATTCGTGGTCGTTGATGGTTACACAGTGGATGCCGGTGTGGTAGCAGGAGCGGGGAGTAAGGAGAAGAATGGGATATCGTATGATGACTATGGACGAAATAGGCCCTTAAAAACCCTAATTGGACCTTCTAGAAAATGACTAAAGGAGAAAAAAAAAAGAGTCTATTTTCTTCATGGCTGCTGTAGCTAGCCATGGTGTGCCGTGGCTATGGCAGCCACAAGACCTTAAATGGCAGACAATGATGTAAAACACAAAATTGGATGGTGAATGGCATATGGCTCAAAATCCGCTGCACCATTCTGCTATGGGGTTTAACAACACTGCTCTTTGGATCTTCTCCCTCTCTATTTGTACAGATAACATACTTGAAAGAACATTCTGCGCACAAAATGAACAAGTAAGGGGATAGCGAGGTTGTTTCCTTATCTTAATCTTCTGTGAGGGACAAACCATTGTTGGGGCTGCCCATTAAGGAGGATTGAGTGTGAGACCGTGGAAACACATATCATGATTAAATAAAAAAACTGAATAGAGAAGTTCATTGCCTTAGGACATCCTCCAAAAAGTTCAACTCCACCTTGTATATAGCCTTAGATATGTCTAGTTTCAATGCTATAGTTCCCTATCCACCCTTTCTTTTCTTCATATGATGGAATGTTTCAAAATTCAGCTAGACGATGTCTCTTATAAGCCTCCTTGGGATAAAATCCCTTTGTTCCTTGCAAACAAAATCATTTAGATAAGGTTTAAGCATATTTGATATGCACTTAGTTACTAGTTTCATGATAATGTACATGCACAAGCTAATAGGTCTCAGGTCCTTGGGGCATTTTGGTTTTTTAATTTGTTACCTAGGAAATGAAGCTTTTATTAATACTTGCTGGCCCTGTGTTATTGTTGAGGATGTTTAGAGCCATGTGGGTTGCATTCTTTCCTACTAGGCTCCAATATTTTTGGTAAAAGAGAGCAGGAAACCCATCAGGTCCAATTTCCTTGATGGGAGCAGTGCTTGTTTTACTTATTCTTCAATGAAGGGATGGTCTAGGACGTACTCTTCCATATGTGAAGTGATTTTATCCTTGATCACATTTCATATACTATATTAATGGGGAGAACAGTGCTGAAAATAATATGATTGTAGAGCAACTTCTATTACTTTGCTGTTTGACCTAGTTTCATTCTTCATTTTTAATACGATTGATCTGATTGTACACGTAGTAGTCAATAGCTGCTGCTATCGCAGCATAGCAGCTCCCTACCACTATTCCAAGTGCATAGTGCCACGATTCAGTTTAGTTGCTGGAGCAGTGTGAATCACAGCCAAAATTGCAGAAAATCGCGACAGGCAGCTGCTATTTGATGCATGACAGAAATGTCAAATTTACCCTTGTTTATTTGACATTAGAAGGTTTTTAAGGGTGGCAATTTTGGGATTTCACTCTCCCTTTACATTGTCAATTTCTGCATGTCGTTTTATCATTCAAACTCGGTACTCTTGAACCCTAAATGCTCCCATCTTCTACTTACTCATTTTTTATGCAACTATAGCATTTTAAATTTTTATAATAGCGGTCATCCTACTATTCGTTGTTCTGCTATAGTGTTTTTGGGTCAGCTGCGCTGCTTTGCTATCTGGGATTGTCTATTATGGTTGCACATCTGTAGCATTGGCTTTTTGATGGAAAAAACTGGTTTTTTTATCTCCTTCTTGGAGCCATGTTGCACATGAACATTGCCTCCATAGAATTTTCCAAGTCCTTTCTTCTCTTTATGCTCTCTTGGTCTGGATTCCACCTTGGTGCTGTTTGTAACTTTTTCTTCACATCCTTAATCTTTCCTATGATGGTTACCCACTTCAGTACAAAAAAGTGATGGCTTCTCTAGTGGCTTCCAGCCTCTGTTAAATTGATTCCTGGTCTCTTTCAAGCATTCCTGAAGCAATCCATGCAGCCTTCCTCTTTGACCCAGAACTCTTCAAACTTGAATAATTTCTTTCTTTTTGGTTTTGCATCTTCTTGTACCCTCAGAATGTTGATTTTGATGGGTACATAGTCTGACCCATAAGGGTGGAAGTGCTGGACAGTTTTCCACTGAAACAAGTCAACAAAAGGCTGTGATGCCATCCTCATATCCAGTCTGTCTTATGTTGATTTGGAAATGAACAATTTGGATTTAACCAAGTTAGCAACAATAATCTTTATTTAGACTTCCTTGCCCCACAATCTGCTTAGTTTTTCTGGTTCTGGTGTGTTATCATACCTTGTATTGAAATGCAAATATTCTGATTTCTTAATTTTCTGTGCAAAGTAAAGATATTTTTTGCAGTCAAATTCTATGGTTGAACTATTAGATTGCTGCCCCACCCATGTTCTCCACAAGGAATACATGAGCTTTTCTTTCTGGCTTACAAAGTTTGTCGATGGCATTGTTTTGGTTCCAAAGCACTGATTGGTTGTTTAACCTTTTAATGTTTAGCTATCACTTTAAAAAATTAAGCCATATTTTAATGTATGAACCAGCCCATATTGTGTTGATTTGTTGATATTGGTCCCTGCAGCTTGTAAAACTTCCTCGTTCACCTACTGTTGATGAAATTCTGACAAAGTACCTTGACTACAAATCAAAGAAGGATGGCATGTAAGAAATGATTGATAAATTAAAAATTCAATATAAAGTACCTCGAGTAAACTGTGGACACATTACTTTCTCTTGAATACAGGGCAGCTGATTCAATAGGAGAAATTTTGAAAGGAATAAGATGTTATTTTGATAAAGCATTGCCTATGATGCTCTTATACAAAAAGGAACGCAAGCAATATAGTGAAGCAATTGTTGATAATGTATCTCCTTCAACCATATATGGGGCTGAACATTTATTACGCCTCTTTGGTATGTTTATTGCTTTTTGCTGCTCAAGTGTGTGTGGACTTGTGCTTTCGTTTTGTCTTGGGGTATTTTTTTCTTGTTTCTTTTGTGGGTTCTTTTTGATTTAGTATTGGAAGAATGCTGTCATCTTTATTTGATGAAAGTATAAAATTTTAACCTCTCTTAGTATTTAATATTATGTGGAATTTTCAATTTTGATCCCATTAATGTGATATCTACTAAATAATCATCTGGTATTGAGTTACCTGAACTTTTTATGTAGCTGTAAAATTTTAACATTTCTTATCTTTAATGTTTCCTGGCAAGTTGCAAGAATTTAGTTTTGGGTTCCAATCCATTAATGTTTGAATTTGTATTTCTAGCCATTACAATCTGGTACTTAACATTACCTAGATCCACATACCTGTTGGATTTTTCATAATATGTTCTGCAAAACAATTATAGATCTTTCATTGTGCTTGCAGTCAAGTTACCTGAGCTTTTGGCTTATGTGAATATTGAAGAGGAAACATTGAATCGCTTGCAGCAGAAATTGCTCGACTTTCTCAAGTAAAAACCAAAAGCCTAATTCATTATATTTAGAAAATTAAATACTGTTGTCCTGAATCCTTATTGAATTCTCTTTACTTTTTGAAGTGTTCTGATACACACTGGCATACTGCACTAGTGCTCTCAGCCGAAATATGGTGAAACTGTCACATTCATTCATATATACTAATGTATTTAGTAATTAGTACATCTAGTCTTCCTAACCTTGTCTACGGCTCATGATGGCATTACCATCTAATTAAATTTCCAGCTAGAGATTAAAAATTCAATTTTAATTCCTATCTGTTAGGTAGGGACTTTGGTTGTATTATTTTATTTTATTTTCAATCAGCTCAGGCTTTTGCTGCTTTGTTATCCTGGAAAAGAAAGAAGTATGCTGCCATGTACAAATTATTTCATAATGATCTATTAATATGCTGTCATTCTGTGATAAAAACGAATGTCATCCACATACATCTTGAGATCCACATCTGTGTAAAGGATGAACAGGTGAGCTTTTCTAGATGCAAGGATTTGGAATATAGAGTAATGCTAGCAACACATTCTCTCTAACATTCTTTTCATTATTGGCTTAAATTTATTGAAAATTAAAAAAGTATGAGATAAAATATTAATTTAGGAGTGAGAAAGAATGAGACTTACATAATTTTTGTAGTTTTCAATAAAGTTTAGTCAATAGTAAATAGTGTATTAGAGAACATGTTGCTAGCATTCTTCTTGGAACATAATGTCAGAAATTTTACTTTATCCCCATTTACATACCGATATGAGGTGATGATGTCATATTTTGGTGATTAAGTGAATAAATCAGTACAGTACGTTCCCCACCGTAATTCCCTTACATTCTTCCCCTTTTGGTTGGGGAATTCATTTCTTCCTCAGGCTCAATAGGGTAAAAGTTTATTTTGATTGTTATGTTTCTGTATAGGGTTTTGCTACTGCTGTTGATTTGGTAAATAAACTCATTGCAGGTTTTTGCAGAAGAATCAAAGTACCTTCTTTCATTCAGCATACGATGGCATCAAAGTCTCCGAAGGAAAAGGAAAGGGGAAGGATGAATGAGAAGCAACATACAATGTAGTCTTCATCTGTTGTATTCTTACTGATTGGCATGTAGACAAATGTCATCTTTCCCTTGAAAAATTCAGGGCAGAAACTCCATTGTTGTTGTAACTTTAAGAACATTGACTAATTCATTCTTTGATTTTTCAAGTTTACGTATCTTGCAAATGCTATACAGTTGAAACCTTTGATGACTCTGATAGATGTTTCTATTATGACCATTTTAGGTCTGGGATGAGCAAAAATAGTGACTAGTGAAATCTAGTTTGGCTTGGTTGTTTTATTGCTGGCCTGGAATAATAATGTTGTGGGGCTAGACCGACCCATTTTTAACCGGGTTGCACACAAACTGAGTGAAAAAAAGTACAAGTATGTTTAGTTTAATTTTTTACATTTTTTTATAATTATAAAATATTTCATTTTTATTTTATTTTTCCTTTAAATATTTATTTAAAAATGAAAAGATGGATTTTTACATTATTTTTACTGTTTCTTTTAAAATTATTTAATAATTAAAGAGTAAAAATATGCTGAAACTTTTACAATTAATTGAAGTAGCAAAAAATAAATAAAAAAACTTAGGTTAAACAGATCTTCTCCCTTTTACATGTTTTTGTATCTTCATAAGTTTTGTAAAATGAAATGAAAAATCATAGATTTGGTGATTAAGATTAGAAGAACATAATATTACGTTATCGTTTAATGAACTCAAGTTGCCATATTTAATGTGTTTTTATTTATAATTATTTTCCTTCCTGTACCCGTCTTTTATCAATGAAAAAGAAAAATTAAAATGGTGTAGTATTATAATTTCAGAGTTTTCACGGAATCATTCCTTTTAGTTAGGCCTCCCACTAAAATTTACCGATTACTTACCAGGGACGGCCCTCACAGCAGCGTACCCAAACTATTGGAATGAGCACACTATGTGGTGGGGATGGCGTGAAGAGTAACGACGAACTTAATGGTTCATTTTCACGCCTTAGTGTCCCAGAGTGAGTGAAGGACCGGAACAAGAATTAACCACTGCGCCAGAGCCAAAGGTCTCTGATTCTCTCTCTCTCTCTCTCACTTTTCTTTCAACGACGATGGCCTGAAGTATCTCCTCTTCCAAGTTCCAATCTCAAGATGGAAGCGGTTACTTATCCAATCCCCTCTACCAAATTCCAACCGCTTCATATTTACACCAGAGCTACGAGAATTCGATCCTCCAAGCTCTCTCTTCGCTCGCCCCCAATTTCAATCAAACCTTTGTATTCCTCCAAATTTCTCATTCTCCATCACCACAGGCTTCGTTGCGTCGCTGAATCCACCAGTAACCACCACCATCACTATCACCATCACAATCACAATCACACTGATCAGAACCACGACCATGAACACGACCATGACCACCATCACCACTCGCACGGCATCGATGGCACTAATCTTACAGGGCCTCAAAGAGCGATTATCGCGTTCGCCAAAGCCACCAGATGGATGGACTTGGCAAATGTCCTGAGGGAGCACTTGCATCTCTGCTGCTTCTCCGCCGCTTTATTTGTCGTCGCCGCCATTTGCCCTCATACCTTGCCCAAGCCCCTCGTCAAGCCTTTCCAAAATTCTCTCATCTTCGTCGCCTTTCCTTTTGTTGGGGTACCAAACAATATCTCCCTCCATTCTCTTTTTGCTCTATTTCTTGCTTCTTTCTGACTATTTTTACACCCTGCGTGTGTTCGTATCAGGTTTCTGCATCGCTTGATGCTCTTATTGAGATTAGTGGTGGAAAGGTGAACATCCATGTATTAATGGCAATGGCAGCTTTTGCGTCCATATTCATGGGAAACTCTTTGGAAGGAGGGTTACTTCTTGCCATGTTTAATCTCGCCCACATAGGTGAGCTAGTAATAGAACTAACACTATCGTTGAAATGCGTTTAACAAAGTAAGGTTCACGATTCAGTGTAGATTTTCTTACGTGCATGGTGTCTGCAGCCGAAGAGTATTTCACCAGCCGTTCAATGGTTGATGTTAAAGAGTTGAAAGAAAATAATCCAGATTTTGCCCTTGTTCTAGATACGAATGATGATAAACTTCCCAAAACATTCGACTTGGCATACCAGAGGGTTCCTGTGCATGATGTAACTGTAGGATCATATATTCTGGTTGGGGCTGGTGAGGTAAGTTTTTTAGTACATTTGTTGCCTCCAACAATTTTGAAATTTGAATTGGTTCAATTTTACTAAAATTTTCTTCATATTCTAGAGGAAGGTTAAATCATGTCAGTTGTCTTTTGTTGGTTTTAGAGGCTTTCAAAATAGATAAGAAGTTTTTACTGCAATCATTAACTGGAATTCATTACAATATACCAAAATAAATAAATTATGATTAAAAAATTTATATAGAACATTATACGTATCCAAAAATTGAAAGAAATATTTTAAACTATAAGTAATTTTGTCTTGTGTGCATTGAAGCCCTAAACTATTGAGATATTTTAACTAATGGGCTTCAGTGGTATATATTATCTTTCTTTGGTACAAACAGATTTACCAAGTCAAGTGTGCACCCTGAATCAAATTAAGTTGTGAAATTAGTTTGGTAGTATAAATGTTTTTCAAGACATCTAATTAGTCTAAGGATGTTAAAATGCATCTAAAAACATGTGGTCAACTGCCTATGAAGGATATTGTTTTTGACAATTTTATAGTACTTATATCACTGTGGTCTGAAAACATTACGGAGCAACAATTGGAAAATTTATTTTGGAAAGACTGCCTGCTAATCTTCTCACAGTTCAGTAGTTATCTTCAGTCAACTCCCTTGCAATATTGTGTTTTCATTAGATAGTAAAATCCAATGTCTCTTTTCCTCTGTTGTTTTGGGAGCATTCCTTGTCCTCATGTTCTACGTCTCCTTTTTCTCTTAATATAGGATTCTTTTACATTATTAACCCTACCCTTCCCCTAAAAGAGAAAAATAAATAAATATATAAAAATAACAACATAGTATTATTTTCATTAAAACCTCAAGTATATTCTAGTACACAACACAGACTCCTACAAGCTCATACATGAACAATTTGGAATTTCAAGTTTTACACAGCAGACTATTGAAGTATAATGGGGATGGTATTGTGATTAGTCTGTGCCAGTAGATTGTGAAGTATTCCAAGGCAGTGCCACAATTACTATCGAGCACTTGACAGGGGAAGTCAAACCTTTGGAGGCCCAAGCTGGAGATAGAATTCCTGGTGGTGCAAGGAACTTAGATGGGAGGATAATTGTGAAGGTATGTTGCACATCAATGTTAGGGTATTTCAGCAATTATTGTCTATTTTATTAAATTTCTAAGTTTTGCGTTCATATTTACGTTGGAAAAAGTGCTAATAATGTTGGTAGTTTGACAACAGAAATGGCAATGGCAGTAATTGTAGCTGGAATGTATGATAATTTGGTGACTTATCATGATGGTGATGGATGATTCAGTTAAAAGAATAAGGTCAAACTCTTGGTGTAATGGGTGGGAATCAATAGTAATAAAAAGGTGGCAGAGGCTACAGTAGTATAATTAATCTTGTTACACTTTTGATGATGGTTTTCTGATTATTTATGTTACAAACATGTAATTATAGTAATGCTGTAAATAGAGAAGATTATTTTTTTGTATTTGCGGTAAGAGTAATGCTAGCAACACACAACACACTCTTTTTGTTATTGACTAAAATTTATCGAAAATTATTGACTAAAATTTATTGAAAATTACAAAAATCATGTAGGTCATACTCTCTCACTCCTAATGATTTTTTTAGTTTTCAATAAATTTTAGTCAATATGTGTTAAAGAGTGTGTTGCTAGCATTACTCTTGCGATAATTAGGTAACTATATATTCTTATTTAATTCTTGTATTAATGTTTCTTATTATAAATATATATTCTGCTGTGTAGTTTAAACACACGGATTCATCTTATGTCTCTTGTTCCTCTTCCTTCTCAACACTTTATTTAGTAGTATAACTGTAAACTTCTCTAGTTCTGCCATTGGTAGGTGGTGATTGAGATGATGGCTTGAGTTGGTGGAGTTATTGATTAATTAGAGTTGTTGTATGGTTCAGCTGGAAATAAATTTCTTTATTATATTTTTGGTTATTAATTGCGAGTTTCACGTCATTAATCATATCTAGGTTTGAGAATTTTTGTTTTCATTGCTAGTTCTTAGATATGTATGGATAACTTGCTAGAGATTGATGCTAGGTTGCTAGTGTTAGTTAGTCTTGTTCAACACTTCATCTTGTTTCTGAATTGGGGCTTGTCCTGTTTAACGTGTGATTTTGTTGGAAACTGACCACAAGGTACAAAATTAATTGATCAGGTAACAAAAACATGGAAGGAATCAACTCTCAGCAGAATTGTTCAATTGACTGAAGAAGCACAGTCAAATAAACCTAAACTTCAAAGGTGGCTCGATGAATTTGGTGAACAATATAGCAAAGTTGTTGTGGTGTTATCAGTTGCTATTGCTGTTATTGGGCCACTTGTATTTAAGTGGCCATTCATTAGTACTTCTGGTAATTTTTGAATTCTTTTACTCTTGTAGTGTTGCATAACATTGTTTATAAATTTTTAAAGTATACTATATGCCATTTCCTTTTACTCTTCTCCTTTAGTAATCATTTGAGAAAAAATTGGAATTAAAGTAGAAAATAATGGAGATGAAGCTCCTTAAAAGTTTCACACAGTGGTAGCCTTTTGACTGAAATCATCAAGTGTAGGGAAAAGAACAAAAGTTACGAGGGAGGTTCTGCAGCTACACAGAATATCTCACTGCTCCCCAAAACATTACCATTTCTTAAATCTTTCCTACGCCTTTCACACTCCTCTCCCTCACATTTTTTCCACCCTCCCTATTCTTCCTTTCATACACATGCAGCCGTCTTGTGCCTCCATACACTAGCTCTTATGTCTGTCTTTGATAGTGATAGACTTGGGCAGGGGTGTATCACGGTTGTACAAGTGGTACTAAAGTCTTATGAAGTTCCTACATATATATTAATGTTATACTACAGCCAAAATCACTAATTTTATAAAGTTCTCAATGCCTGTGTTCTCCATTTTGTTTTTATGAAAAAAGGAAATAGTATCCTAAAATATGTTGTTGCATATCCGATAGAACTAGACCAAAGAAAGAAGAACAAAAAACGGAATCAAGAAAAGAATTGTGTATTATTGGTGTTGAACCTCTGAGTTAGGGATTTGGTACCCCACACAGGAAAAAAATGATTACAACAGTATCACTTACAGGAATTTGAGAGCCCGATCTCTCCTAGCCCAAACCTAGGTGACTAACTCCATACCCGCCCCCCTCCACTTTCCTTTGTCCTATTTATTCTCAATTAGTAAAAACCATTGTAACAGTTACATCAGAGTCAGTTAATATTTTTTTCTGACCTGGGCCCCACTTTTATTTTTCCTAACATATACTTTCCTAATTAAAGGTCTAACAATATCTAAATATTTTCTAACTCTCATATGTCAGCTTATTTAGTTTCTGATTGATGTAGCTTGCAGAGGTTCAATTTACCGAGCCTTAGGGCTTATGGTGGCAGCATCACCTTGTGCCTTGGCTGTGGCCCCCTTGGCATATGCAACAGCAATCAGCTCCTGTGCCAGAAAGGTATCAATTAGCTACATGGAGTGTCTAAATACACAACGTCTGAATATATTTCAAATTTAACATCATATATGAAATTTCTATTCAATTCTTTTAGTTTTTTCCTTTTACTAATTACTGATCAAGTGTTATTCTAGTGTTTCAATTATGAAGTATATGCACCATTAATATGATTTCATGTTCTTCATCTGTGTTCATCATTATATTTGCAAGAATTATAACTCTGACCTTTGAAAATCCTGCTGGTATACTATCTATTATAAGTTATGCTAGCAATTCCCTTATTATCCAAAGAAAAATGTATAGTAAGAGACTAGAAGATAATGCAATCAAGCTTTGATACTTGGGTAGCTATATGATACACATATTGAGTATTTGGTGCGGGTATGATACAAATATGTTGCCAATTTTGAAGTATTCATGCGCCATAGACTGAATTGGAGGGAATAATTTGATTATCTTGTAATTATTCTTATTTTTTACATCATTTAAGTCCTTCACATGGTTTATGTTTGTTGGCCTGAGTGAAGTATAAAGTATTCAAATTTTTCTAAAAAAAAGCGTAGGTTGCTTCTTTTATTGTGGGTTTGACAGTTATCTCAATTTGCAGGGGATATTACTCAAAGGTGGACATGTTCTGGATGCTCTAGCTTCTTGTCATACTATTGCATTTGACAAAACAGGGACGTTAACAACTGGTGGACTTGTATTCAAGGCAATTGAGCCCATTTATGGTCATCATGTAAGAAACAATGGATCAAACATTTCTTCATGTTGCATTCCCACCTGTGAAAAAGAAGCTCTCGCTGTTGCTGCAGCTATGGAAAAGGGTACTACTCACCCAATTGGAAGGTATCATATTGAACAGATGCATTTTTGTTACTTTTGATTCTTTTAACCTCCCTTGTATCAGTTTCACCTGTGGCTGTCATTAATTATTTTCATCACTTTTTTATCCCTTGAGAGAGATGAACTTACTCCTAACCTACAGTACCTAATAATCAAGATACAAGAACATTACAGTCAATTTACAATATTTACTGCTTGTTCCATTGATTGCTAATTCAGTAATTCCTAATACTAAGATTCTCTCAAGACTCCCCTCAAGCTAGTGAAGATTTTCATTCACAGCTGGCCAATTAAGATTTCCAAGCTAGGTCTAAAGAGTGTATCTCCTTTGTGGTGTTAATAGGGAACTCAACTTAATAAAAATGAGAACGCACAGCAAATAAGAAGAAATGACGAACTGATTCTATTTGATTGAAAGCAAGAAATACAGAAGGATAAGAAATCCCACTGCCTAGAGCGTAAGCTCCTTTAGAGCAACCACAATGGCCCTCTACCCAAAACAATCAACAAAACAGAATCCTCTCAATGGTCCCCACGCCTGATTCTAAATACAATGGAGATCCCCCCCTTTTTCTCTCTCATCTAACCAACCTATTTCTCATAGCTTGCCACGTCACTTTTTCTAGTTTTCTTCCTCTCATACATCCTTTCCCATCTACATGTATTAGCTTCTTGGATCAATGGCTCATTAGGCCCATATGCATTTGGGTCTGTATCAACACTTCCCCCTTGAAATAAAGCCTTGTCCTCCAGGCTTAACTCTAGAAATTGACTCCGGATACCCACCTCATCTTCCCACGTAGCCTCTTCCAACAGTTTTGCCTTTCCACTGCACTAATACTGACCACAGTGTTTCTCCTCTCTTTGTAATGTTACACGTGGCTAAAATAATTTGAGGTTCAATCATACCAACTCGATCATCTTCAAGTCCTATACGTAATTCATTTTCCACTTTATAATCTCCCACAACTTTCTTCAGCAATGATACGTGGAATACAGGATTACTCTTCAAGGTTGGAGGCAAATTGAGCTTATATGCCACTTCTCTTATTTTCTCCTTAATCTCAAATGGCCCATAATACCTGACACTAAGCTTAGGACTGATTCTGCTTGTTAATGATTTCTAGCGGTGCTGTTTTAGCTTCAAGAAAACCATATCTCTCACTTCAAACTTCCTTTCTTTCCGATGAATATTTGCTTGAGTTCTCATTCTATCCTGAGCTCTCAGCAACTGGCTCTTTAACTGACGCAAAGCCTCATCTAGGTCCAAGAGATCTCTTTGGACTGATTCCACTCTCACCTCTCCTTGAATGACTTGCACAATCTTTGGTGGTGGACGTCCATAAACGGTTTCGAAAAGTGTCGTTCTCATAGATTCATGATAATTGGTGTTAAACCAATATTCTGCCCATGGCAGCCATGTTACTCAATCTCTGGGTTGATCTGAGATGAAACACCTTAAGTAGGTTTCAATATATCTATTTGTTACTTCAGTTTGTCCATTTGTCCACGGATGATAGTTTGTGCTCATTTTTAATTTAGTTCCCTGCATCTTAAAGAACTCCGGCCAGAACGAACTCATAAACAGCGGGTCACGATCACTTATCACCGAATTTGGTATGCCATGGAGTCTCACTACTTAACAAAAATTTCGGCAAGTGCTATGGCTGTATAGGGGGTGCTTGAGTGCCACACAATGACAATATTTGCTCAATCTGTCCACTACTACCATGATAGCTTCATGGCCTTTGGATTTGGGCAATCCTGTAATAAAATCAAGGCTCACATCTTCCCAAATTCTGTCAAGAACTGGTAGAGGTTGAATCAGACCGCCCAGGGCAGCAGTGATATACTTCTGTCTTTGGCAAACTTCACAAGCTTGGACAAAACTCTGAATATCACCTTTCATTCCCTTCCAATAGAAATTCGCTGCAACACGTCTGTAAGTTCGATAGTACTCGGAATGCCCACCCATAGGAGTAGCATGAAACTCTTTTAAGAGCCTTGGAATCCAAGCTTAATTCTCTATAATGACCACTCTATTTTTGTAAAACAACACCCTTTGTTTATAGGAAAATTCCAAATAGGGTCTACCTTTATTTCCCCTCTGCACTTCTTCAATTATCTTCTTAAATTTCTTGTTTTCTTGGACCTCTATAATTAATTCTTGGCAATCAAGCCAAACAGGAATATAAACCATATTGTTCAATTCCACATGGTCTTTACTTCGTGAAAGGGCATCTACCCCTCGATTTTTAGCTCCGGGTTTATAAACTATTTCAAAATTGTAGCCCAAAAGCTTGGCTAACCAATTTTGTTGTCCCTTGTGGTAATACGTTGTTGCAGTAGCTGTTTGAGGCTTTTTTTTATCAGAAAAGACAGTAAATTTTTGCCCCAACAGATAAGGCCTCCAGTGCTGAATGGCTAATGCCACAGCCATGAATTCACGTTCATACACTGAGTTGGTTAAGTTATGAGGACTAATGGCTTTACCATAGTAAGCAACAGGCTTCTTATGCTGCATTAATATGGCTCCAATCCCAATCCCAATCCTAGACGCATCACATTTCAAAACAAATTCCTCTTTAAAATTTGACAAATTCAGAACGGGAGCTGGAGTGATTGTCCTCTTGAGTTCATCAAAAGCTGCTTGAGTTTTGTCACTCCACCCAAAATTTTCTTTCTTGGTCAATTCAGTGAGATGTTTTGCTATTTTACCGAATCTTTAATGAATTTCCAGTAGTACCCAGTTAGGCTCAAGAATCCACGCACTCCCTTGACATTCTTTGGCACAGGCCACTCCATGACACTCCTCACTTTTGATGGATCAACAGCTACACCTTGAATAGAAATAATATGGCCAAGATATTCTATGCTCTCTTGACCAAAAGAACATTTCTCCTTATTAGCAAACAACATGTTTTCCCTCAAAATCTCCAACACTGTAGTCAGCAGTTGCATATGTTCTTCCCATCTTTTGCTATACACGAGTATATCATAAAAAAAAAACTAATACTCCTTTTCTTAGCAAAGCATGAAATACCTCGTCCATAAGGGCTTGGAATGTAGATGGTGCATTCATGAGCCCAAATGGCATAACAAGATATTTGTAATGCCCCTTCTAAACACGATTTTCGGTATATCTTCCTCCCTCATCCTCACTTGATGGTAGTTAGAGAGAAGGTCCAACTTTGAAAAATAACGAGATCCATGCAGTTCATCCAGTAGTTCTTCTATTACCGGAATTGGGAACTTATCCATAATTTTAGCCTTGTTTAAGGCCTTGTAATCAACACACATACCCCACTTATTGTTTTTCTTTTTCACCAAAATAACTGGGCTGGAAAATGCACTTTGGCTGTGCCTAACGTGACCCACTTCCATCAACTCCCTCACTTGCCTTTCTATTTCATTTTTCTGATGATAGAGATACCTATATGGCCTCATATTGATAGCTTCCTGTCCCGGTTTCAGATTTATTTTGTGTCCTTTAACACGCACCGGTGATAATTCTTTGGGTTCCTCAAATACGTTATCAAATTCCTGTAATATTGCTTCCAACGCCCGCTTTTGTTCTAATGTGAGTTCCGGCTCCTCTTGTTTTTTGCTTTCTTCTAACAACCCAAAAACTGAAGTCAGCAATGATTCTTCACGAGGAACTCCTCTCAATATTTTTGTTCCCTGCGGAGTGGTTACTTTCATCACTTGCTTCTTCTAGTCAACCACCATTTCTCCTAGAGTAGTTAGCCATGCCATACCCAGAATCATGTCTATATCTTCAAGATCAAACAGAAAAGCATCAATCAGGAATTCTCCTTCATCCAACTCCACTGTAATTCCTCTACATATTCCATGTGTCTCAGTTAGATGACCATCTCCCATTAAAATCTTCATGCTTCATGTTTTTTCCCAACTCCAACCCAGAGCATCAACCAATCTACGAGAAACAAAATTATGGGACGCACCACTATCAGCCAAAATTAACAAAGAGAACTCACCCACTTTCCCTTGTATCTTCATCGTCCTCGGAGGATCTTCTCCTTTCATCATTGCCTGCAAGCTCCATCTGAGTCTGTCTTGCTTCACCGAAGCTTTCTCTTGTTTGCGTCTCTTCATCCTCACATTCAACCCGTAAATCATCATCCATCAAAATGACCTAGAGCTGCTTAATCGGGCATTGGTGGAGTGGGCCATAAGACCCACAACCCACGTTTTTTCCTTTCTAGAAGGTCTTGGTAAGAGAGCTGGTGTACATCTCTGTTTCTTGGCCTGTTTTTGCTTTTATCACCCCCTTCTTCTTTTGCACTTGGGCCTGGCCCATTTCCCCCCTAGCTTTCACTATTCTGACGTAGGGCGGGTCTACCCGAAATACTCGAAATAGGTCGGTTTCCTGGATGGGTTTTCCCATCTCCACGTGTGTCTCCCCTTCCCTGCCACAATCTGCTGCGCCCAGAAAATTCAGCGTCCATGGCTCTTGCCACACTCATCATTTTGCCTCGTGTCAGAGGACTCGCCAGGTGCACACTCCTTATTCTTGCTCTGACGTCATCCTTGAGGCCTTGGGTGAAATAAGAGAAATACTGATCATCGTGCAGCTTTAGTACTTGAGCGATCCAACATTCGAAGCTTCGAATGTAGTCATCCATGCTCCCCATCTGATATAACGATGCCAATTGGTTGTAGATGCTTCCTTTGCCTCTACCTCCATATTTCTCCAAAAGCTCTCTTTTCAGATCTTCCCAAGTTCGGTCTTTGTAATCATTCAACGGTGAGTGGAAGAAGTTTATTGTTCCTCCTTTCATACATACGTGACCAAGATTCACACATATCGCCTCGCTCGTTTCTTAGACATTGAAATAAATTTCTGCCCGAGCAATCTAACCCACAGGATCTTCGCCATAGAATGAAGGGAGCTCTATTTTCTTCATGGATTGACGAAATTCATTCAATGCATCACCCTCGAGCGGTTTCATACTCGGTGTTCCTCCAGATTTTCGTCCCTTTGTTCCCGATTTCTTCGATTCAATCGACCCCTCTACTTTCTCTTCTTTGCTATATTTCTTAAGACTTCACATGAGATTAAGCAGTTTCGATTGATTCTCTGCTGTTTCTCGACACATTCTTCATCTGTTTTTGGTTCTGCAGAGATTGAGTCACTAGTTCGTCAACCACCGCCTTCAATTTGGTATGTTCTCCGGCCACATACTCTACTCTCGTATCTTCTGAGTCAAATGTTTCTGGTTCTTCTTGTGTGTTGTTCTTCTTGGGAGGCATTCTCTCCCGTCAGATGAGATTATGCGGGAGGTCAGACCAATTAATAGGGAATTCAATGCAATAAAAATGAGAACGCACAGCAAATGAGAAGAAATGACGAACTGATTCTATTTGATTGAAAGCAAGAAATACAGAAGGATAAGAAATCTCACTGCCTAGAGCGTGAGCTCCTTTAGAGCAACCACAATGGCCCTTTACCCAAAACAATCAACAAAACAGAATCCTCTCAATGGTCCCCACGCCTGATTCTAAATACAATGGAGACCCCCCTTTTTCTCTCTCATCTAACTAACCTATTTCTCATAGCTTATCATGTCACTTTTTCTAGTTTTCTTCCTCTCATACATCCTTTCCTGTCTACGTGTATTAGCTTCTGGGATCAATGGCTCATTAGGCCCATATGCATTTGGGTCTGTATTAGGTGTCCTGTTGGAATGTTGGGGACATTTATTCCCTAGAATCAATTTTATCTATTAATTCTAATGATTTGTTCACTGTTGCTGGACAGGGTTCTACCATGGTTATTGCTGATTTTCTGTCACTATCACTTCATAGGATTCTCTAGAGAAATTTAGGTCTTGCCGGGTCTGTCTATCCAAATAATTTCACATACTCTGCTATTTCCCTGAACTCAACTTCAGCACTGCTGCTTGCCACAACTGATTGTTTTCTGCTTCTCCATAACAAGGTTTCCCCCTACCATTGTGCAATACATGGTTGTGAACTTACTGTCTTCAGTTGACTTAGCCCAATCAGCATCTACAAACCCTTCAATGTCTCGTCTTGCTTTTCTTAAATAAATAGAATTCCATTGCCTGGATCCCTTAAGACATTCAGTATATGTTTGGCTTCCTATAGAAGCCTGTTAGTAGGATAATGAAGAAATTGACTCATTACAGATGCACTATAGGTAATGTCAGGCCTTACCAGTGTCAGATATATCAATTTTCCTGCCAACCTTTGTCCTTTGGTACTGTCCCTGCTCTACTGGCCATTCATCCTCATTGGATTCTTGCTTCTAATTTCTCTCTAAATGAGTAATTGCTGGCTTGTGTCCAGTTTTACTAGTCTCTTTCTATCAGACAAAGACTTTTCATTTGAGTAAGAAATATTCCTTGTATACTTCTTAGGTACTTACATACCAAGAAAATACCCGTGTTCCAAGGTTTTTAACTTGGAACTCATTCTTTAAAATTAAATGAGCCTTCCACCTTTTTCTGTCCTCCTTGTCATCACCTTTAATCACCATATCATATTATCATCACTTTCATATATAATGAGGATAGCCCTTTTTCTTGGCGCTTCCTTGTTTAATAAATAGTATTTGGTCCACTTGTCCATGTATCACTCAAAGAACTTCACCATTGAACTGAATCTAGTAAACTATGCTTTGGGCTGTTGAGGGATTCCTGTGTTTTCACACATTGCTTTTTTCTTGGGAATTGCTACCAGTTCAAATTTGTCCTTATAATCTATGCTGTACCTCTAAATGTATTCTTCAGCTACCAATTTTTCCTTGTACCTACCTCTTACTATCCTACATAGATAGATGCATTTGAGTGCCTTGGGATCAAGTTTCCCTTCGTGATTATAAAGAAATGCTGCACACCAATATCTTTGGGTGTCGAGAATGAAGTGGATGAATCATAGGAAATGAGTCCAGCAAGCAGCTGATAGGATTATGAAGATTGAGTCCTTTTGATGACAATCTAATAATGAGGTGGGCTGCAGGAAGGCCTGGACCCCAATATGTATGAATTGAGATGAAATAGTTTTGTTAATTGTCCAAGAATACTAATTTACATAATATAGGCTGAAGTTACTCTAATTGTAGGAGGTAAAAAAAGGAATGAGGAAATTACTCCTAACCTACAATAGCTAATAATCAGGATGCAAATGGGAATTTCCAATCAATTTACAAATTTACAGTTAATCACTTTAAATGCTAATTCCTATCAGTGAGATTCCCTACAACCCTATTCAATTCTTGAATGTTCAGTAATATTATCTCAATGTATAATAAAGGTTGATCTCGAACATGATTATTTGTTATCACCCTGTAACATGAATTGCAGGGCTGTGGTTGACCATAGTGAAGGCAAAGACCTCCCATCTGTTTCTGTTGAAAGTTTCGAGTACTTTCCTGGTAGAGGCCTTACTGCAACTGTTAACAGCATTGAGGTACCTTGTTATTATGTGTATTGCAAAACCGATTACTTAAACATTCATTTTGCTTGACAAAGCCAGGTATTGTAGTATACACAACCATGAATTATCAGTATCTTGATCTCATTCCATACATTTCTTATGGAGAACTTCCATTGTTTCCCTGTACACTTCTTAGAAGAATTCTGTTTTGTTATTTTGCAGCTGTTTACTATCACTAACGCAAGTGCTAACTATATATTTAATGGGACCCATGTTGGAGACTCCCAAATATCAATAGTTTGTTGTAGTAGAGTATGAATAGTTAGAGCAATTGGTTAGTCAAGTAGTTAGAGAGGGTAGGACAGAGGTTTAGCTTATATAGGAGGTTGGATAGTAGGGATGACAACTGGATTTTGACCAATGGACACCGGCAAAATTATCCATTACTGGGGAGTGGGGAGGGAAGTTACTTATTGAAATAGGTTTGGATCTGAGTGCAAGTAATTACCTGCAAAATAATTATAGGGATGGGTGCAGGTTTGGATATTTTAGCATCCATCCTGTCCTATACCCACACATTGTTTTATATATTAAATTTAAATAAAAATAAAAAATAATGTTATGCTTATACAATAATACAAATGAGTTGGGAACAGATCATAGTCATCACAGATTGGAAACTTCTCATTTCATAACCCCAGGTCATATTGTCTGAACAGAGTCTTATGCATTATAAGTTTGTTGTATTATTTAGTCAGTGTCAACATTTCTGTATGTTTTTAATTAGTTACTTTTATTACTTTGGATTTGGTGTTAATTTTTCTATTTGATATGTTTTATATTTAAGATATGAAAAATCTTTCAATATCTTTTTTGTTTTATTAATATATCATAAAGATGATAAATTTAAAAGAGAAAACATATATTATTCAACTAAAATGTGGATAATGTTATAGGTGCCCATGCGCGGGGGGAGGGGGGATTGTGGTTTTGAGGACAAATATTACAGTACCCTATTTTACACCTTCTCCATTGCCATTCCTAGGTAGAAAGGGAATGGCATTCTGTTTTGTAACAATGGAGCTATTGATCGTGGATTACAAGCTTCATTCTTTGGAGTCCAGCATTTCTAAGCTCAAGCACATGCTTCCTCTGTTGATGTAAATGCAGGATATCATTCTTGAGTATGAAGAAGTGAATAAATAGCCCTTTCGGGAGAAATGTAATGCAGCCCGTAACCAAGCAGGTGGAAAATTTGAAAGAGAGCAGTTTTCAGTTTGGTGGTGACTTGTTGCTATCTTTGGAGCTACGAAGTGGATATAAAGAAGAAACAAGAAAGTATCAAGAACTAGGGACAAGATACTGAAAATGTTGGAAGCAAAATCAGTGAGAGAAAAAGGCATTTAAATAGCTATGGTGGAGCAAGAAGCAGACCAACTAATGATAAAGGAGAAACAAATGGAAAAACAGAGTGGAGAATTTGGATTATGAAGACCATTGTCAGGATAACAAAGTGGACGTGAGGAGAGGGAAACCATATCTATGTATAGCATAATTGTGAAAGTTCAGAGAGGAGCAACTGATAAACATGAAGGATTGGGTTTTGTACCCGTGCAGTAGTTTCTCTTTAGAGGTCAGGGTATCAATAATTCGAACAATTGGTTAGTTTAAGTGGGTGAAAGGACAGGGGTAGGGCTTTAGGCTTTAGCTTTTAATAGGAGGAGGGGTAGTAGCGAGTGGTATTCTATTCTGTATCGATTGATAATTGAACATTGATTCTGTTGTAGAAAGGGAAACTCTTTGTGAAGGGGAAGCCTTGGAGGAGAGATTGTTCTCCTTGTTCTATTCATTTTCAATCAAGAATAAATCATTCTTTTTATCTCTCTTATTTTCTTGAGTTGCTAATAAGATAGACTTTTATATTCACTTTTTCTTATATAGTTTATTTGTGAATGACGAATAAATGACTCAAATTTATTTTTGTTTTGTTATAGTCAGGAACTGGATGTGCTAAACTATTGAAAGCGTCACTTGGGTCGATAGATTTTATCACTTCATTTTTTCAATCTGAAAATGAGTCAAAGAAGATCAAGGAAGCTGTTAATACATCTTCTTACGGAAGTGAATTTGTTCATGCTGCCCTTTCAGTTAATCAGAAGGTGGCATACTATTATCTACACATCATTCTGAGAAGGGTTAATGCTTTAAGTATATTCAAAGACCTCTCCAGCTGGAGAAACCAACTGCATACCCAAATCTTCTAATTTCTCTGGCCTGTTTATCCCACCCTGTTCTCCTTTTCCCCAAATAGAACACATTGAGCTTTCTGCAAACGATATGCTACTTTCTCTCATTCTCAACAGTCTCTATCTGTAAACCTAGCTGACTGATCACCGATCATGTAATGCAGGTAACCTTGATTCACCTAGAGGATAGACCTCGGCCTGGGGTTTTTAATGTTATTCAAGAATTGCAAACTGAAGCAAAGTTTCGTGTGATGATGTTAACTGGTGATCATGAGTCTAGTGCAAGAAGAGTTGCAAGTGCAGCAGGCATCAATGAGTTTTATTGCAACCTTAAGCCTGAAGATAAGCTGAGTCATGTAAAGGATATCGCGAGAGATATGGGTAAATTCCTTGATCAGAGGTTCTTTTTCATCATTATGTCTTTGATGACAATGATATTATATTCAGACTGGTTTCTGTACTGCATATGCATGTTTATCATTTTCGCTTTTGTAGTTTCACACTAATGGTTCCTGTGTCACGCGTCCCCTCTTTTGCTGCTCCCTTCAACTGTACAAGTAAATTGTGAAGAACTGAAGCCCAAAATATTACCTCACACACTTACTTTCAAATCTAGTTTTACTGCACCTTTGTGGATCAGTGATTAAACTCTTATTTTTATGATGAGACTGCTTTTTTAACGAGGTTCCTACATTATAATGACTAAGGACCTGTTTGGGTGAGCTTATGAATAACAACTTATGACTCTTATAAGTTATTTTTAGCTTGTTTCATAAACTTTTTGATATAACTTATCAAAATAAATTATTTTTAACTAATCCAAATAAGTTTCATTGTTAAATTTATGACATAAATTATCATTTTAAAGAGTTTATTGAAGTGTTTAAATAAACAGTTATCCAACCGCATCCTAAATTGCATGATGATTTTTACTTTTGTGGACAGGGGGAGGCTTAATTATGGTTGGTGAAGGGATCAATGATGCCCCAGCACTTGCTGCTGCAACTGTTGGGATCGTGCTTGCTCATCGTGCTAGTGCAACTGCCATAGCTGTTGCAGATGTATTATTGCTTCGTGAAAATATTTCTGCAGTGCCATTTTGTATTGCCAAGTCTCGCCAAACAACTTCACTGGTATTTAATATCAACAGTTACAATACATTATTTCCTCAGATCTTGAATGTTTACCTTATATGCGAATGCCCATGCAGATTAAACAAAATGTGGCTCTAGCATTGACATGCATTGTCATGGCTTCCCTTCCATCAGTTTTGGGATTTCTGCCATTGTGGTTAACGGTATGAAAATTTAATTTAAATTTCATGCTGGATCTTTCTGCCATTCTTCTGCTGTACATTTGTTTTCTTTTGGCTCTATGTCATCATCATACAGTGAATGACTTTAACAAGCAATTTTTAAATGATTGTCTTAAGAAGTCTCACGATCATTTTGGTAAAGATTGCCTCTAGCTGTGGCCATACCAATACCACTGTGCTGAAACACCCTTTCCCTTTGTCTAAAAGATAAGTAAATTGAATTGATAAGTGGTACTTCTTTCACACTCAGCTTAGTTTGTTCGCTAGAATTCCTGTGAATTCTTGTATCACAAGAATAGGTCTTTAGCTTTCGAAGGAAGCCACTACCTAAATTGCTTAATTTCCTTCTTTTAAACATTTTTCCATGGTTGCTCTTCAACTAAGTCTTATTTGTTTTTTTCATACATGAAGGTCCTTTTACACGAAGGTGGAACCCTGCTTGTTTGTCTCAATTCCATACGTGCTTTGAATGAACCATCTTGGTCCTGGAAGCAGGATATGTTACATTTGATTAGCGAGGTTAAATCTAGATTCCTGTCTCTCACGACAAATTTGACGGGCTCAAGCAGTGTCACAACAGCGAATGTGTAACGTAGTGCTGTTGTAGTGCATTGCATATTTGTGTTGGGTATAATATAAAAATATGTTAATATCCCTTCCCTTGTATATCTGTAGGCATCTTTTTCATCCTGAAGAATTGAACATTCCTCATTATTTGAGACTAGTTTCCCTTTCTTTAAACCTCGTTTACTCTAAGAAAAATGGCATATTAAGGGAAGAATATGCACTTCGCAGTCATAAGATTTCTATGAAGAAATATCGACGCAGAAATCAGCTGACTAGTCATCTACATTGACTTATATATGGTGCCATCAAACTGAGCCATTACATTATCTATCAATTGTCGACATCCGTTTGCGATGGGAGTCTTTTCTTTGACAGGTAGATTACCGCCCAACTTACGAAAACAATATAAGAACGGGTTCCCTTTCATATTTTGTGTTTATGGATGCATAATAAAATGGCGAATTAAATTTTTATTTTTTTTACTAAAAATGTATTATTTTAAAAATATAAGTCAGTCAATGCATTTTTTTAGGATATAATATATTTAATACATCCATATAATGTATTTATGGTTTTATAATAAATTATGAAAACAAGTTAATAATGGCTTGTATCATTGCAACGTATACTGAAGTTCTCGTCTTAGCTGATTGTTTTATACAATTACTAATTTAAAATAATTGTTACACTTAAAAAAAGTGTCTCATTAAAAAATAGTGTCTGACATTATTTATCATTTTAAAAAAGAAAGTATGCCTAAATATGTTGTCTCTTTTTGTGGGATTTTAAATTGTTTCTCAAGTATTTTTTTTATTTTAATTCTTAATTTTTTAAAATTTTTTACTTTTTGTCTCTGGACTTACTACAGAAAGTTGACGCATGCAAAAAAAATTGTTACGTGATAGTTTCGTAGTTAGCCATGTCATTACAGAGACTAAGCGTTAAATTTAGAAAAAAAAATGTAGATTAAATCTATAAAAAAAAATTGAATGACTAAAATCAACACTTTACAAAAATATAAAGATTAAAAATAAATTGAACCAAGAAAGTATTATTTATTTTTATCTTTTTTATTCTTAAATTATGTATCTCTATTATTTGAATAAAATCATAAGTAAAATAATAAGATAATATGTTTAAATAATTTGGTTTTTAAAATAAGAGTATTTTTAAAATTTTAAACAATCTTAAAATAATTATTTTAAACTGGAGTGAATAGTTAATACAAATATCCAGGTTCACTCATCACCTGGGCATGAATACATTTCGCACAGCCACACCTTTTTTTTTTCCCCCAAAGTTTGTTGTAGAGCCTAAAATAGGAGAGTAAAAATGAAAAGATGAAAAGCATTATAATATGTGAAAACGAAAGGGGTCCTTGGCTCATTTTGTTTACCATATTTGATTCAATCAGAAGGATGCATTTTAGACTGTAAAATAGTTATAATTGTTTATTTGAAAATCATTTATTAAATTGTGATAAAATACAAGCACACCTATGCTATAAGTCTAGAACTCCAATTTGTTCTTGATATAAAACCGAATATTTATGTACATGGACCCAAAGTGTATGTAAGGACCACTGCTAAATGCTGAAGACATAAAAGCGAGTGCTTTAGAATCACCTAAGCAATTATGCTTCGGAAATTTAGACAGGATACAGGCCCCAACATTAGTAACCTCGAAGAACACTCCTACAATCAATCAGATGTTCGCACGTTTTTCCATCGAAGGCTTCCATGTCACTACAGAACCTTACGTTACGTTAGAGTTAATTTGGCTGATACATCTGAAAGCAATTATAGCCCAAAATTTATGGTCGTTGACCATTCGTAGCTTAAAGTATAGACGTACATTGTTCGTTGTAGCTGCTCTTCTACTGCTGCTGATACATATGAAAGGTAATTATAGCCCAAAATTTATGGTGGTTGACCATCCGGAGCCTGAAGCATCAAACACAGACAAATTATTGAATGTATTTTGCAACGCGAATTTATAGGCTTTTTTATTCAAATATTTTAAAAGAAAAAATAGTACAATATGATTTTTTTTTTAAAATTTCTCAACTTGAAGTGACTTTTTAAAAAATACTTGTCTATCAAAAGTGCAAAACCTGAGACACCTTCACTTTCCAAGATCTAAATTTTGCAATTTTGGTGATGATGCATGCTTTTTTTCTTTAAAAAAAAAAAAAAGGAATAATTCTCCTCACTTACCATGTGAGACTTATGAAGTTTAACACGTCAAATTTTAGTTAGTATTGCCACTATTGTTAGCAAGATTGGTATTTTACACAAATTAGTATTGCCACCAAAAGTGTCTAATTCAAGGAATCTTGACATCGTACTTTTGGTGGTGATTCTGATTAAAAGAAAAATATCATCTACTCCAATAATATGGCCTATGATCATGTGAAAAAAAAAAACTTTAGACAGATAAATTATTTTTAAAAAAAATCAAATTTATACCTTATTAGAAATTTGTAACTTATTTTTTATGTTAAAAAAATTGATAAACCGTTAAGTCAAATAAAAAATTATAATTCTTAAAAGTTAATTTATTAAAAATTTATGTTTAATTATATTTTTAATCCTTGTAAAAATAGCATTTTTTAAAATTAGTCCTTAAAAACTTTTGTTAGGATTTAATTATTCATATTATTAAATATTTAAAATTAATTCTTATTGTTCTTCTGTAAATTGATGACCTAGATAATAGAAGTCTAACTTATAAACGTTACATTATCATTATTTTTAATATTTTATTATTTTAAAATTAATATTTTCAAATAAAATTTTTAAAATTTTATATTATTATTAAAAAAATTAATAATTATTTTATTTTATTCAACCTTTCTCTACATTGATATTCTCTCTTTTTTCATCTTTGGAACTTTAGAAAACCACCATCTTCATCCTTACCAACATCACCACTCTCCAACACATAAGCTTTTCATCATTTAAGATTTGGTGGGTCAGGTTTCTTGGTCTTTCGGTTTGCAACATTTTTTGGTTTAAAGGTGAAAGAATCAGAAGCAAGTAAAAGAAAGTTAAGATAGATTTAGGTCTAAATCTATGCATGTATCACCGTCAAAGACAATAGTTTTGGAAAAATTTTCCGATATTGTTTTACTCTGCTACAACACTTGTGCTACCCTTTCTTTAGTGGCCCAAAGGTTGAGAAACCAATTCACAAGACCTATTGTTGGTTGCATTGCCAAATAATAAATGAAATCGAATGTACTTTTTTAATTATAAACTCTATTTTCCAATTCCTACCTTTAAGTAAGACCAATTATTCGCGTTCATCATTTTCCTATAAAATAAAATAAAACTCAATTCTAAGACACAATGCATCTTCAATCAAAACAATGTCTTTTAAAATTTGTATAGTACTCTTTTTTGGACAAGGCCATATTTTTCCATGCGTAGAAGGATCAAGTGAAGGAATTAGGAATGACTTGTAGACACTAAAGAACGATGGACTTAGGCCTAAATCAATAAAATTAGGGAAGTTAAAAAGAAAATGAGCAACAAGAAGAACGATATTAAGTTAAGAGCACAAAATTCTAGGAAACAAATGACCACAAGGATGATACTAATAGTAGTCTTAATGAAAATGACTCTCTCTGTCGTTGTAAAAAATGACATTATTTTTATTGGATATCTAATGACTTATTTTAAGATGTTGTGAAATCGCCTATAACTTGATCTAGATACAGGTTGATACAGAAAGAGAAGGAAGTTAAGAGATAGGATTAGAACTTGTATATAAAAATTAATTTTTAAATAATAAAATATTAAAAATAATGATGACATGGTTGTGATAAATTAAATTTCTATCATCCAACCCATCATTTAATACAGGAGAGTTAATGGTAAGGACTAATTTCAAAAATTTTAAAAATATCAAGAGTTAAATCCTAACAAAATATTTTTTTAAAAGACTAATTCTAAAGAGTGTTACTTTTATTAGGACAAAAAGCATAATGAAGACAAAAAGATATTCCAAGTAATATTTAACTTATTAAAATTAGTTACTAATATTTTCTATTTTTATTCTTAATTTTTAAAATATTATATTCATATAAAGTGATTTTTTTAATTATTTGACCTATTTTAACTATTTATACAATACAATTTATTAGATAAATCTAATTTTATTAATTAATTATAAACTATAAAAAAAATTATTAATTTTACCAAATAGAGTCATTAGTTTTAAACTTAAAAGATACTTTTTTTTTATTTGTTTAACATGGCACATTCATTCTATAGAATTATTTAAAAAATGACTATTTTTTAAAACTTTTGATGAAGATATAAGCATTATTATTATTAATTCAATTAAATTTACATATTTTAATTATATTTAATAGGTTGTTTAAATAGATGGTGAATTTTCAATTTTTGTATATTCATTTAAATCAACAGAAAAGAAATAAAATATTTTTTAACATAAAAGCTTATCATAATTTTATTTGTCTTATATCACAACATTAAAATAAAAAATCTCAAACATATGTGTAATATAAATATTTGAATTTTAAGATGGTCCAACAAAGAAAAAGTCCAAATGAGTAAGAAAACTCATTATAACCAAAATCATCTTATTAATAAAGTTTAAGAAAGTAAAAGAATACAAAAGAAAATTTGAGAGAATTATATATATACTCTTACATTTTTTTTCTCTCTTCCGTAAACTTAAGTGTGTAATATGTTAGTAAAAATTAATTTAAAACTTTGAGTTTGTCTTGTAAGCTACAAAGTAGTAGTGTTGATCAACAATCAGCTACGAATGGTTTTAGTTTTATATTATTCATTCTTAACCTAATAAATATAACTTTGTGTTTAGCCAAATATGTCCATCTTCTTTATCAGGATAATCAAATTTTAGTTATTGTGGGTAAGCTCAAATTTGCAGGGCTTTATTTGATTTTGAGCCATTGTTTGACTAATAATTTCTTTAATCATGATTGGATATTTAAGTTAATTTTATAATTTTATTCAAAATTTATTATATTTTTGGGTTAAAAATGTATTTTGCCCATCATTTCATAGTTAGCCTAATTTAAATTTATCAAAGTTAAAGCCTAAACTAAAATTATGTTTTGGAAAAATAAAACGAAAGACATTTCTTTCTGTAATTATTAATCATAGAATTCCTTTCATAAATACAAAATGAACAGTGATTATAATTTTATAAAACACATTCAACATTAGGTCACTCATTACAATCTACATGCAATACAATAGCTTAATGATAAATTCATATTTTAATGTATTTTATGACTTATACAATTAAAGCTTATTTTGTGGACGTTTAACACTAATTTTATGGTTAATTAATTCAGTTAAGCCTAACACAGTTTTCAATACAGTATGAAAATATTTTAAACAAAAATTAGATAAATTTAGTTGATCCCACACTAATACATAGGAGTGATGAATACAAACATGGGCGTGATTCGTGATCTAGC